GAGTGAGTGAGTGAGTGAGTGAGAGTGAGTGAGTGAGAGTGAGTGCGAGTGAGTGAGTGAGTGAGTGGGTGAATGAACGAGTGAGTGAGAGAGAGAGTGAGTGAGTGAGTGAGTGAGAGAGTGAGTGAGTGAGTGAGTGCGTGAGTGAGTGCGTGGGTGAGTGAGTGAGTGAGTGAGTAGCGAGCGAGTGAGTGTGAGTGTGAGTGTGAGTGTGAGTGAGTGAGGGAGTGAGTGAAAGCACTTCAACAAACTGATGTACCTGCCACGAAATCTGCACTTCGAGGTTTACAATTTAAAGTGCTGTACCTGCCACGAAGTCTGCACTTCGAAGTTTACCAATCTTAAGTGCTGTGCCTGCCACGAAATCTGCGGTTCGAGGTTGACAAAGTGCTGCGCCTGCCACGAAATCTGCACTTCAAGATATTTCGAGGTTCACAAAGTGCTGTGCCTGCCACGAAATCTGCACTTCGAGGTTCACAAAGCGCTGTGCCTGGCACGAAATCTGCACTTCGAGGCTCACAAGGTGCTGTGTGCCACGAAATCTGCACTTTGAATTTCACGTGCTGTTTACTAAGTGCTGTGCCTGCCACGAAATCTGCGCTTCGAGGTCGACAAAGTGCTGTGCCTGCCACGAAATCTGCACTTCAAGATACCCCGAGGTTCACAAAGCGCTGTGCCTGCTACGAAATCTGCATTTCAAGATACTTCGAGGTTCACAAAGTGCTGTGCCTGCCACGAAATCTGCACATCGAGGTTCACAAAGTGCTGTGCCTGCTACGAAATCTGCACTTCGAGGTTCACCAAGTGCTACGGTATGCCTGCCACGAAATTGCACTTCGAGGTTCACAAAGCGCTGTACTTGCCACGAAGTCTGCACCTTCGAGGTTCACAAATGCTGCACCTGCCACGAAATCTGCACATCGAGGGTGACAGAGTGCTGTGCCTGCCACGAAAACTGCAAGCGAGCCACATGTCCGAAAGTCACGATTTACTGCACCTGTCACGGAATCAGAGCTCGTCGAAGATCACCACCATGTCCAAAGTGCTGTGCTTGCCACGAAATCTGCATTTCGAAGTAAAGCCGCTCCGATCCCTTGCACCTGTCGGGAAAAGTCGACTTTGGACTACCCTTGCGCCTGCCACGAAAAGTGACCATGTCCGAAAATGCGCATGGCACCACAACAAGAGCGCAGTCGCGACAAGAACCCGCCGCGGCCACCCAGATTTCGCGAGCCTGCGCAGTCGAAGTGCACGTCGATTATTTTGAAAGGGATGAATTGATGTACTGTAAATAGCAACGAAATAGCCGGACCCGACCGCGCAAAGGATTCTGCAAAGTTCCCATTGTCGTCAAAAGATTGGCGCTGAGTTCTCCTGAGTTTCTGTATTTCATCATATCATTGAAGGAATGTCTCCGTAACTCTCCTTGAAACCCGTCTCTTTGCAGCTAAGATCAGCTGAGTCTCCGCAAGCTTGCCCTGCAGCTGATGAGTCTTCACCTGCGGTTCATGGACGAACCTGGTGGATAGTCGAACCTGGTACAGGGGAGAGCTGAGAGCTTAAGTGAATGGACCATCGCTGGACATCAAATAGCAAATGGTCGAATCAGGGCTGCTGTTTAATCGAATCAGCCATCAACAAGGTACTTCCGAGAACTATCCGGTTGGTCGCGAATGAAGGTAGCCGAGGAGTGGGAATTCCGTCGGGGCAGCCTCAACATGGCGAGGCTTGAATACCGTTGAATCATTCAACTTTCTGTTGGTCAAGGTGTTTTTGAAGAACACCCCTCTGGCACAGCTCGCGTGAATACAGGGAAAGGTGCTGAAACCACACATCAAAGGTCTGGAGGTTCTTCAGCCGAACTCCACGATTGGTCGAGAACACATAGGTCACATAGGTCAACCACCATAAGTTTCAATAGATTATATAATATTATAGACTCTGAGAATCTGAGATCGGCTAATCCAGATCTGTGCCCTCACCGGCCAACAGTGTGCCAAATGACAACTCCGCAACTTGGCCAACCTGGTTCACGAGCTCATAATCATCCATGCCCTTCACACACCTCACTCTGCCCGGAGCTTTCAACTGTAGGAAGTCGCTGAATCTGCATTCCCTGAAAAAGTTCAACAGAACACAAAACAATCTCCAGAACTGCATCATATCCTGTATATCTCTAACACCTCGCACTGCCGATGGTCGAACCAGAAGCCTAATTACAGAATTTCCAAAGAACACCGTTTGTTTGTGGGCAAGGGCGGCTATTCAGGCAATGCACTGCACACCTCGTCTACGAATCAGAAACACCCTGAAAAAAAAACTTTAGACATCTCTAGACTCTGGCCCCTTCGCTCCAACTGGAGAAGAACTGTATACAGTATATACGTTCAACATCTTTCACCTCAAGTTCTTCAGCACTCCTAGCTCGTAGCTCCTCGCCTAGCTCCCTCCCCTGGCTAAATGCCGTGGCGCTGTAGACATCGTTCCTTGGAGGCCTGGGCGAAGTCGGAGCGCACCGTTCGCAGCGCCTCCGTGATTGTCTCCAGCTCTGCCTGGGAGAAGCGAGCACAAGTGAGCAGCGGGTGGTTGCCTCGGCGCCGCGCGGTGCTGCAGGAGATCGCGATGTTTTGTATAATACATACATATATAATACATACAGAGACACCTGTTGTTACAAGTTATAGAATGTTACATTATACTATTTACAATACATGGCATGGAAGAAAGAGACCCACACCCTCCAACGGCCCTAAATAGACCTATGCCTTTAGATTGTTGGGGAGGGTGAGATTCTTCTGGAAAGGAGAAGGGGAGATTGGCATGTTGGAGGATTCCTGGTCAACTGGGGAGAATTCCAGGAGTGAAGGAATCAATCATAACGAATGGGGAAATTCTAGAATCCAGTTCAAAACCGCCACGACCTCCCAAAAAGGTCGCTTGATCGAAAAAGCTTGATCGGTGCTCCGAGCCGCAAAGCCTCCGAAGCCGGAAAAGGAGGTTCTGCAAGAATTTGCCTCGAGGTTACAAAGGGATGCTGCCACACGAGCTGTCACATGCTTTCACAGCTCGGTTTGGCTTGGATGGCTTTTGGCCGATGCAGTTTCGTAAGGCAGTGGGAAATAGACTTTGTATTATTATTGTACGTTGAAGTTGCAACTAGTGTAGCACCCTTGCAGATACTGCATCGTTACAGTATGTATGTGTCTGACACTGAACATTTGTCCCGAAAGTGGCTTTGGGATGGGGATGGTGTCCCAATGCAAGCTCGTGGCGAAAAATGCGCGCAACTAGATGCCTCCGCAGAAGCTTTTGCTCTCAGCAGGTCCTTATCGTTTTTGGCTGCTCGGAGTCGCCAATCGGCATTTCCCAATCGGATTGTGCGATTGCTGATGGCAAAGATCCATCTGTAGAACTTGTCACAGGGTGGAAGAGATAGTGAGGGTTTCACTTTTGGTTGTAGCCCCAAATGATCCCAAATGTCAGTTTTCTTGTGGAAGGAGGGTATCAAACAGAAAGCCACCCCTCGATCAACTAAACCTCTACCAGTGCTTGTGCACCAAGCAAACAGGATCCCCCCCTTTCTCCAGTGAGCCCCATCAAATCCCATAAGTCATAAACCGTTTCAGTCTATCAAAGGGACCAGAACTCCAACTTGGATGACCAGTTCTTGTGCCATGGTGTTTGATCTGCAAACACAGGACGCTATTTTCCAAGCCTCTGGACATCGGACTAGAAATCCAGCTTCCCATCCCCAGTATCAGACTTTCTAACTTTCTACATGGATGAACATCCCAACTACAGTACAGTGATCTGTGCCATCTGCTCTGAGCAAATCTTCAAAGGACAAAAGTGGCCTGGGGCATGGAGAAACTGCAGGCAGGCTCACTTGGAAAAGCGGGCGTTGGATGGGACGCAAAAATAAACTGGAAACCAAAATCCCACTTCGACCCTAAAAGCTTCTGAGGCATGACCTCATGGTGAGAGGACGATCCGTGCTCTCGTCAGTGGCGAGTTCCCATGCTTCTGCAAAGAATCATGACCGTTGCGCAAATGATAACTACGGACCTGCTCATTGGGTTCAGGCCGTTACACTTTGCAATCGGCAAACATGTCTGCCCACATCGCTTTGTCGATGCACGCTGCACGAGGTGCAGTTTTTGCGAAATAGGAATTAGAGTAAAGGGTTTGGTAGGACGATTTGGATGCTTGAACAGCAAATGACGACAAGTCGTCTTGAAGGCATCATACGCATAAATCCTTTGTGGAAAGAGCGCTGATGCGCAACTCTCTCTACCATAGCAATGGATACAAACAAATTGATTGCAGTATAAGACTCTTAGGCGGTTCTCACAACTGCGAAATATTGTACGGCGAGTTGAACACACGAACACAAAATCATTCCACTTATTACCATGCGGTGTGGGCAGCATCACGCCACTTGTAGTGGCAGTAATAAATCCATGAGCCCGAACCAGCCACTGTTTCAAGTAGCTTCGGGTCTCATGTGCTCTTGATTGGACCAGCCATAAACAATAAACTCACAACCCCCAGGAAGCACGAATAAGAATAAGTCGACAATGCCACCTCGACGGGTGGGGTATAAATGAACATTGAATCGATGCATGCAACATGATTTACTGTGAACATAAGACTTGATCCACTCCGACCCACTCCCTCCCATGGTGTCTTGTTGGGAGTCTGTTTGACGAAACAACGTAATATGTTGTTGGAACCTTTTGTTTGTCAGTGTTTGTGCTCAAAACGCCCACTATGAATCCTTCACCTCACTCTGATGCACCTCCTCAAAGTACCTGTCTTTGTGATCTCTGTATGTCCCCTTTCTTTATGGCTGTACTTTAAACTTGGACCGTCGCACCGCAGGGCTCCAGCGGAATTCCTGTAAATCCCGCTTCACGGCGCGGCGCCACCAAAGGGTGGGCCATGGACGCCTACACTGTGCTAGGTAGCGTGACTCGGTGACTTGCTGGATCTTTGATGGTGGGGCAAGTTGACTTTCGTTGTTTGTTACTGAAAGCTGACAGCATAGCGGCCGGAAGTACATCCAAGGTGGGCTCCAAAGGAGTTACTGGAACCAAGCCTCTCCTAGTGGAGTTGACAGTCATGCAGCTACTAATCATACATAATATATATATAATATGTTGGTGGTTGATCAAAATTCTTCCATGATGGAGTGGCCACTCTGCGCAAAAAAAATATCATGTGCGGCCTCATCGCGAAGCATGGTCCTGAGCCATGTCTAGTTAACATGAGCTGGAGCCATATGTTTGTATTATTTTTGTATCACCAAATAGGGACTGACACTGACAAGTTGCAGCACGACGCCAGCACAAGGTTAAACATCGCCGAATAGGCTGCCAGTCTGTGAGTCTGGGACAGTGAAGACAGGAATCGGAGAATCCTTGACGCGCTGCGAGGGTGGGCAAGGAAACGATGAGGCTTCAGTTTGTTAGTCTGTGACAGTGGGGACATGCGGGGACACTTCTGCCCACCAACCGTGCCGGAGGATTGCCTTGTATTTCTACCACTTGTCGGTCGGTAGAAAGGAAAACATATGAAAGAAACGACCTTCGATAAATCTTTCGCACAAAACGATACTTTCGCGAACCGTCAGGAATCTTTCGCGGATTGTTTTAACATCTGAAAGGCTGTTTTATACAAAACTCCTTACACGGGGTATTAGTATTTTAGATAAACTCCCATATATAATCGTATATATATATATATTAATATCTAGTAGATCACAAGCAGGGCCACTGTGCACAGCAAACTTGGCCATCGGCAAACAGCGCAACATATGCAAGGTCGCCTACGGAAAATGTAATTCTAGGGGGCCTTCTGAAACGCACCAGCTCCTGAAGCACGGATACTTGTGACACAATACGTCAACTAGATGCCTTGCAACTTGTGACGCAAAGTGCGGCACAGAATCGCAGGGCGTGGCCCACCCACCACCAGCGGTCACCGTTTTTTTACTCGAAAAGGAGTTCTTCAATCTGGCCCGTAGATAGGGTGATCCTCGACCCATACTCCCAGTCTTGAAAATTCGCGCATCCACCCAGGCGGGTGCGCTGTAGAGGTCCGCAGTGATTGAAGGAGCCCGTTCACGACAGCTCAGTCGCACACTTTTCCTCCAAACATCTTGCCTGTTCTTTCTAATGCCGTCTGCGTATGGGCTACTCCTTTGCCTCTTCTGCGCAAGGGTAGAGGGCAAACGGACACTGTGCAAGGTACAAAATGAAACCTTGGTGCCAAATCCTTTGGTTCTGCTGTCCCGGAAGGATTTTGGTCATGGTCCTCGGCAAGAGATTCGACTTGCCAATAGCGATCCGTGTGAGCCTCGTAGCAGCTCATTTTCGGGCTTAAATCTTGGCTGCAAGCGTGAAGTCCAGCGGTGACCAGGCATTCTTCCGTGATCTTAGCACAGTTCCAGTTCCTACCTTGTATTCTGCGGTATATTGTCTTCAAACTTGGAAGACCCGTCGACGACACGAAGGCCGAGCTTGGCAAATCTGCAAATCAATAATTTTGGCTTGTTGAATTGAAGGTGGCAGCAACCAGGTGAATCAGTGAACTATGCCGACTATGCCTTTGATCAGCCACTGCTGATAGAAGAAATCCTGCACCACCAGGGACACAGCAAAACCCCAGGAGACATGTTGTGGGATGAACATTTCCATCTCTGAAGGTGAATAGGAAATCCCACCAAGAGTTTCAAGCTTTCAATGTCTTGACATAGATCGATTATCAACCAGGATGCCAATGAGGTCTGTCACTGCTCCGGTCAAAGGAAGGCTCAAAACATCCTTTAGAACTGCCAAGTATCTCCTGTATTTCCATGTGTTCTCTAGGTTGTACATACAGAAAACACCAGACACACTTTTTCCGCTGGCGAGATGAACCAATCATCTCATCTGTCTCTGTCTCGCATGGTCCGCTCCACTGGACTTCCCGGGCAAGGAGAGAGCAGTCAAAGGAAGCTACTAGTAACAAGTGCCACGCTAGTAGTAACAGGTGCCTTACTAGTAGTAACAATGTTTGCTATTAGAAACAAGTGCCTTACTACTAGTAACAATAAGAATCTAATTAAAAGCTTCGGACTATGGCTACGGACTAGCACGAAGGGATTTCTTGGGCTAGACTGGCTCTCCGAAAACCATGGACACTGGATACATATGCCGAACCAAATTTTATCCAAAAAGGCACATAGATTACAAGATATATATATAGATGTATATAATATAAATGTATGTCATATATAATATATATACACATGTTTTTTGCAGTGTCAGTAGAATGTCCTGATGTTTAGGAGGATGTCTCTGTCTATGAGCAGTGCTACTGATTTGTTTCAAGAAGAAAGGGAATCGGATGCATCTTTTGGTGTGTTTCATCTTTCAGGTGTACAGCGACCAACAAAAAAGGATATCTCCGACTTGGACAAGCGCACAGGACATCACAGTTTGGAGTCTCAGCACCCATCAGTTTCCGGCATGGAAGTCATTAAATACCTCTTGTTTCCAAGACCTATATACTTTCTGAAGACTAAGAAAGCTCCTACGGATTACTACTGTATATATATAAAGGCTCCGCAAGAAGGATAACATCCACGAAGAAACAACACTCTGCTGATCATATACTTCACTTGCATAGTACACTCTGGCGGTTTTCGATGTTGGACGCCGTTTTGGGCAAGTGTGTTGCCTTCAAACTTCACACCCTTGAATCTCTAACTAAAAGAGAGTGTTCAACATGTGTATAAATAGAGAGGGAGAGAGAGAGACTCTACAAGAGGGGACATCTGACCAAAGCAATAAACCGGGTGTCTCAAAATTGTGTGGGGTTATAGTAAGGCTGAGAGGGTGTCCTAAGTGTGACTCAAGAAGGCTGTTCCACGCGGTGTACAGAAAACACCCACAGTTGTGACAGCGTGCGCCGCCAGACTTTCGCCTCTGACTCTCTCTCCCAAGAAAGTGACGGATTGCTGGAAGCAATT